CCCTCTCCCCGGCCGGGGGCAGGGAGCAGCCGCCCGCCGCGCTGAGGGGCCGGGGCCGTCCCTTTCCCGCGCTGAGGTACCGGTACCCTGAGGGGCCGAGGGAAAGGGGGTGCCTCGCTTTCAGCCCCCGGACAGAAAATGGCTATAGCGGCAGTTACCGAGGCGGAAACCCGGCTGTGTGGCAACTGGTAAGAAATGAAACTGAACGCTTGGCAGGGCTGTCTGTGTGTCGGGGCCTGTCCTTTGGGCAGGCAGGCTGGAGATCCAGTCAGTAAGCGGTGTGTATTCCCTTGAAACGCTATCAAAGGTGCAAATTAATAATGAACAAACCACCTTTTTAGAAACGTTTGGGTTTTGGTTTTACCTTGTCAGGTATTTATGTCTTATAAAGTAATTTTCCCAGCCTTTACTCATGTTTCTGACTTAACAGGCAACTAGGCAGAAACGAAAGTATTCCAATCGAAATGAAGACTCGATTTTCAGTGAGGTACACATGAGGTACATGATTGCAAGTTGTTCTTTGGCAGCTGCGTGGCTCAGAGATGTAAAAATAGAATCAATAGGCACATATTGTTGTGGCAGTTGTTTCTCTGATAACAGTTCTCTTTCTGTAAAGCGCTAGTGTTGGTAATACATTTACTGATAATGACGTAACCTCAGAAGTTGCGTCTTGAATACAAGCAACTAAAGAAATCAACTTTTTTTTTTCTTTTTTCTTAAAGAGACATGGGAATCCAAACAGTTTCTTGCAACATCAGTGCAGTTTGTTTGCAGGCAGTGAGTATGTGCAGTTCAGACGCTGCTGTTGGGCTGCGTTGCTTTGCCAGGCTGTTGGCTGCTTGGGATCTGGCAAGGGAGAAGACTGAACAGCCGTAGTGTTTTTCCTTTGAGACATGGAAGGCACTAAGCAATAGGTTATAAAGTTAATTTTGGTGTTGTGAAGGCTGATTTCTTGTGTGCAGGGGGGGAATGATGCTACCTGCTTGAGGCAGGAATAAGGGCTAAGCTCCTAGTGTCTCAGTTCTTTTTGCACCTTTTGTGTTCGTAAGCCTTGCATCCTCCTTAAGAAAGGAAAATGAGTATCGTAGAAATGAGGTGAGTTGGGGAATTTTGGCTACGGAGTAATACGGTTACCGCTATCATTCCCTGAATAGATCTGGCCTAACAGGATATGTTAGTTATTTTTTCTAAGCAGAGCACTGTTCGACCTCTCATAACCAAGTTATTTTCAGGAAGAAACTTTGATCTTCTCGGATTAGTTTATTAACTTGAACCTGATGATAACTTTTTTATGCTGCAAAATTTATCTTTCACGTAAGAAAATAAATCCACCTTGATTTTATCTTAATGCAGTGTGAAACCTGTGACCTTTGCATGCTGTACGTGTTAATATCCCAACTATAAAGGAACATGGAGGCCTGGTTGGGCTTGCCTTTCTCTTTAGTTACTCAGTTCTCTAACCCATGAGTTCATAGAAAGCTGTCTTAGGATTTTTTTTTGTTATGAAAAACTACTTGGAATTGTTGTCAGTGTATTTTCTGAAAAGTAACCTCTGTGACTTTCTCATAGCAAAAAGGATATTCCTGTTGCTAATTTCATCATGCATGAAATCCACTGTAGGAGAAATATTGAAGTATGCCGCTACTGCAGTGAATTAATCCCAAAGACTGAAATGAAGAACCATTTTGAGTCTGAACACGTGCAGGTGAGAAACAATTTTCTCCTCTAAAATCGCTGACTTCTATGGCACTTAATCTAACGAGGTCTGTTTGTTGTAGGTTACCTGCAAGTGTAGGATGAAGATAGAAAAATGTCTCTTGAAGGATCATGAGGTTGGTGGACGTTGTGTTATTAGACGCTTGGCAGGTACTCTGCGGTATTTCCAAGCACTGATTCTAGAGCCTTTCTGTCAGCTGAGACCTGGATTCCAACCTGTGATTGATGTATCCTTTTTATTGAACTGTGCTTTCTAAATTCACACCCTCTGACAGAAGGTGGCTGGAAACAGCCTTAAAGTGGTGGAGCCTGCTCAGGCCTTCTTATAAAAGGGGTATCTGTGATAATGGGTGATTTTTGTCCTTATTAGTGAGGAAGATGAAAAATGGTACGCTATTTCAAAAGTACAGAATATGATTAACTTGACTTTTTTCATTCCTTTAACATTACACATTTCTGACTCTGCTGCAGTCGTTATGTGAGTTTTAATAACTCATTGTGTCCAAACAGACTTTTAAAATAGCTTACAAAGTAAACTGAAATGGGACACAGTAGGATTTTCTGAGTTTCTGAATCCAGTTGGCTGCTGTCACAGGCAATCTTGTTATAAATGTCAGCACCTTCCCTTCCTATGGGCTCATTTAAAGGCAGCTCTGGAAGTGCCACACGAGTCTGCTTATCGGTGAGGAAAAAAGGATTTTCTTTGAAGATGTGTCCAGTTCAAAACCTGGGAAGTCGATTATCCTGCACGTTTGTGTGTAGTGCTTTTAGTTTTGTTTATAAAGCAAATGACGATGTATTATTGCAGCATCTGTGATTATAACATATTTCATCTATGTTTAACCCCTTTTGAAGGGCAGCTTGCCTGTCATTCAGTGTTGGGTAAAGAACACATGTAAGCAATTCTTTTTGAGTAGTAAATGTGCTGTAAATCTGTTCCCTAATATAACACACACGAACATGTTTTTAGCAGTACTCAATGAAATGTGATTAGTACTGGATGTCAAGACTGTATGTAAAAGCTAACTTCAAAAAGCACCATGTGAATCTGCGGTCCAAGCGTTACAGATTAAAAAAAAATGTTCTGAGTATTCCGAGTGCTTCAGCTAGCATGTTTATGACTACGCAGCTTATATGACACGCTGATCTTATATTTCTCACGTAGTATCTTATTTCAGGCTGTTCCTTAGCATAGCTTTGGATCTGGCTAAACAAACAATAGACCGCTCAGCTCTTAAGCAACTGAGAACCTCCCTCCTCCTTTGCCTCAGTCTTCCATATGTTAAGAATAACCCCTCTTTCTTTTTCCAGGCATCGGCGTGCCCTCTGCGTCCCGCCGTCTGCCAGTACTGTGACTTACAGCTCACTTTCAACAAGCTCCAGGACCATGAAATTTACTGCGGAGCTAGGACCGAGAGATGTGGTGGGTGCGGTCGTAACATCATGGTGAAAGATCTAAAAGAGCATCCTCCAGTCTGTGGGCAAGAAGTGAAACAAGTAAGAGGAAGCAGAACAGTGCCTCGCTTTGAGGATGAGGATGCAGATTTGCACGCCCTTCGAGACATTAGAAACCGACTGAGATCAGGTAACTATGCCGGGCCTTTGTGGAGAATGCCCCTGGTGCTAGAAAAGCAGATTTAGAGCAGCTGTGTAGGAGACAAAACACTTAAGGACATTAGCAGAAGAAATGTTGCAGCAGCACAAAGAAATCAAAAGTGAGGGAAGGTGTAGAGAAGAGCAATAATTGGCTTCTAATTTGACATTCGGCAGCTGATCCAAGTCTAATGTTTTGTAATTGCTTTCTGTGAAAATACTGAATAATGAAAGCTCCAGAGGCGATGTGAGTGGGACCCTTTTGCCATGGAATAGAACGGCAAAGGTATAAGCCAGCTGAACAGAGGACTGCGGAGGTACGCGGTGTGAAAGCCCAGGCCACTGCCTGTTCTTTTGTTTCAAAGTATCTGGCTTAAAAATGAAATTGGAGTTGTTTGCTCACTGCAAATTCTGTCCGTTTTTGTTGAGCAGCTGCACTCCTCTTTACTCCAGTTCAATAGAAGGGTAGGTAAGGTCTGGACGTGGGTTCATGTAGTGCTGCGCATTTCTGCAGTGACGTCCCATAGCTTTCCTACCAGGAAAGATTCCGTGGTTTTCTTCTGTACAATTCCCACTGTTGTCAAATGTAATATCATTAAAAGGAATTTGTTTTCCTATCAATATACTGAAGAAACAAAGCGGAAACATTTCAGCCTTGTAAAAGGGCCGAGACTACAGTATATTAATTGGACCTTGTTCACGGCGTAGGTCACAGAAGGTTCCTCAGTGACTCCGTAAAGCTCCCAAGAAGCTTAAGTTCAAGCTTTTGGAGTAAGAGGAACGACCTTCTTCTTTTTCTCCTTTTTTGCTTGTTGCAAACAAAAATAGAGTGAGTGTTTTGACGCAGGTGTCCTAGGCTTTGAAACGCTGATCTCCACGAGTGTCCACACGTGCACATGTGAAACCCTCATGGTTGAGCTGGTCTCATGTGCAGAAGTGAACTGCTTGTTGCAGGCTTAACGTTCTCTCACATTTATGGTATTTGTCTTTTGAAGAGGATGAACTGGAGCAGCTGGAGAGAAAAGAAGACACTCGTTCTTCACTTTATGAAGAGTGGAATGC